TAATTTTGCATTCTGGGTTTTGAGCGTCCTTTGTTCCTCCTTGATCTCTTTCAGCTCCGTTCGGATGGTCTCAATGACCTGGCTTTGTCGCGTGAGGAGCAGTATAAGGGCTTGGACATTCGTAGGACTGATAGCCTGGCCATGGCGTTCGTCAGGTGTCGATTCCACCGTGATCGTTTCATCGTCGAGGAGATGTTGTGCCTCTTGAGCAGCGACCGCCTTCGCGCTGCGGCTTTCGAGTTCTCTTTGTGGTTGATATTGACATCGGGATCTGCCGGCGCTAATGCGCGTGTCCCGCTTTGGGATCTGCGGGGTTGTCCGGCGCGTCGCGTGTCGCTTGTACATCTATTTTCAATTGCGGCTTCAGGATCTATTTCTGCACGGCATGTAAGACAGGTCGAGAAAGGTTTCACCGTCTACCGCTGGTGCTACCTGCGCAATTATGCGATTTGGTGAGGATCATCACGTGATAGCACCCCATATCTCGTTCCAACTAGAGTCAAATGAACATCGTGTGGAGTGACCCACTAAAACGCTGATTAGTTTCAAGAACAACCCAAGATAGAAGGTGTGCCGAAAAGGATACACGTACTCAACGCGACAATAAATCCACGCCTTCCTCTCACTCATCAGCCGCCTGAGCTTGAGCCTGCCTATCGTCCGCAACAGTGATGAACCACTCCGTGTCGGAGACTATTCGAAAGAATCCCATCGGCACTGCGCTCGATTCGTTTCGCGATGCGTACGCTTCAATTTGTGAGAAGCACGGACTTGCCTGCTCGACAGCGTCTTTGAACCAGGTAAAGGACAAAGGTGACAAGCACTTTTCTCTTTTGCGTACCGTCTAACATATATAGAATTCAGAAATCTCGCGCTTGACCTCATCTTGGCCCTGCAAAGCCATTCTACCTCCCGTCTGCTGCCTTCACGCACCGGGCGGGGTACCCTTTTCGGAGACCTGTCCAGGTTCAACTCAGTAATGACTCGGATCAGTTCGACCCTAAACATGTTGTTCCTCTCCTAACCGTTGTCATCAACCACGAGCCGGACGAGATCATCTTTCGAGAGGCGTACGCCGCCGTTACCGAGTCCACGCCTCCTCCTCGCCCCCAAACCCATGCTCTCCAAACTCCATATACACATAGCACTAGTAGCATCGTCAACTCATCCGAACACCGACAAAATATAGATGACGTGCTGAAGGGAGAGCTCGGGGCGATCTACATTGGGGTTCTAGAATTCCGCGAGGTGGTGTTTGGGAAGGTACAAGGTCTAAAAGAGAATGCCGAGGCCATATTTCAAAAATGCCAGGAAGGCGAAGATCCGCTATATCACCAGGAAACGGGCTGGCGTGATTGGCCCAGAGGCGCTCAAGAGAAGGATGTTCTGAAGTGGTTTGTCAAGCGAGTTGAGAACTTCCTGGACTTCGCAAAGGACCATACCTCATTTCCCAAAACTCCACGAAGACCATTGACCCGGCCGGACCAACCTCTGGAGGGCTCCATAGCCGAGCGCAAGCTGGATATTGGTTTGTTGATGCCCTGAAAGCGGACGAGGATGGTCGATATCACTGGTCAAGGATCCTCGTGCCTGGAGAGTTGAAGAGCAACCCTAACCTTGATACCGTCTCCAAAACATGGCTTGATCTTGGAAAATATGTCCGAGAAATTTTCACTGCACAAGACAACAGACGATTTGTGCTGGGATTTACGCTGTGCGGACCAATTATGCGACTATGGGAGTTTGACAGGGTTGGTGCGATCGCGTCGCCGCCTTTCGATCTTAATCAGGACGGCCTGCAATTCGTCTCGGTCGTGTTGGGATACCTTTGGATGAATGACGAGCAGCTCGGATTCGACCCCACCATACAAGAATCAGGCGGTACAAGGTATATCGAGATCACACGCAACGGTCAGCAGGAGCGGCTTGTTCTTGACACTTTGATGAGACGTGCACCTTCTGTGGTCGGTCGAGCGACGACTTGCTGGAAAGCTTATCGAGATGGTGATGAGTCTAAGGCTCCTCTTATCATCAAAGATTCGTGGCAATATCCCGAGCGTGACCAAGAAGGCGAATTAATCCGGGAGGCAACAGAAAAGGGAGTGGTGAATGTGGCCAGATACTATCACTATGAGACGGTTCAGGTGGGCGGCGTCGACGACGATGTCTATACCAATATTCGCAAGGGTTTAGATATCTCGAAATCTGCGAACTACCTCGGCCAGAATCAGAAGACTGACGCCTCGATGTTTCCGCCAAGTACACCCATCTCGCTTGACGGTACGGATCGAGGCCGAAGTTTCGTCGTGAAAACTAGCATCGGGCGTAAGAGGTCATCCAGTTCCATTAACGCGCGATTCCCATTGGCAAACGGACATGTTCTAGCTCACCGACCAAGAAGCCAATCTCCCGGACGTTGTTCAATAGGGAACATCGACGAGTCGTTGTGTCGGACTACGGCAAGCCACTCTACAAGGCAAGTTCTCGCGCTGCAATGCTGGCGGCTTCGGTAGGTTGCATTACAGGTAAATGATACTAAGCCAACGGTGTTCGTGGTCTGACGGAAGTAGGTTATAAATCTTTGCGCCAGGCCGGCATCCTCCAGCGTGATATCTCGACAGGCAATACCATGATGAACGAGGACCCGACCAATCCATCTTGGCCGGCGTTTCTGATTGACCTTGACCTTGGAATCAGAGAGCAAAGAAATGAGCCATCGGGGGCACGCGGCATAACTGGAACGAGAGCATTTATGGCCGTCGGAGCGCTGCGAAGTGAGAAGCACTCGGCCATGCATGATTACGAGTCATTCTTTTGGCTACTTTTTTGGATATGTGTCCACAACCAAGGGCCGGACGAAGGGGGCCTGGTAACCGAGTTCAACTGCTGGAATTATGAAGACCCTGTCCAGCTGGCAAAGTTAAAGCTAGGAACGGTATCTGACGAAGAAATTTCCCTGGAGACGATGAATCAACACTGCACACCATACTTCACATCGTTAGTACCATGGATGAACAGGCTTCGAAGGTCTTATTTCCCAACGGCAGGTTAAGGAAAGAGGAAGATGAAGGCCTTCCCTTAAAAATGATGGAAATTCTCCGCGAAGCGCAGAAAGATCCAGATGTCCAATAAATCCCAAAACTTCCCGTTCGCAGAGCGTGAGGCTGAAAGGAATGCAACTGTGGAAGGGCGTTGACTACTTCCACACTTCTTCGCCCTATCCTATTCTTTCATTTTGCTTCCTCTTGATCCTCTCAGAACGTCGGTCGTGGTCGGTTCTTAGCTAATAAGACTACTGCCGGGAAAAGTTACCGGCGTTTTAAGGCACGCCAATTCCGGCCACCACTCCGAACTCGCTCCTTAATCTGTAAATGGCTGACAATCGGGCGAAGGGAATTCTGATGGTCAAATTAGGTGAAGCGGTTGAATGGGACAAGAGAACTCTGTAGAGAATTGGGTCAACCCTCATAAATTCCTAGCATTTTAGCGTAAAGGCTCTGGCGAGGTACTGTAGTCATGGTTTAGATCAAGAAAATTTGACGGACTACTGTTGATTCTCATTCGAGCAACAGCTTTACCAATTGGCGAAATGAGCTTTCTCAGAGGGAAAAGGGATGGTACCAGGCCTTAATTCGCTAGAGCTTGATTGGAGGAGCAGACGGAGTGGACCGAGACGCTGAGGTCCACCAGAATACCAGGGAAAGTGCCCTGTCGTCTGGATGCCAGAATGTAGCGATGTAGCCATCTGTAGGCGGTAGAATGAACATGGCATAGATTCATATGTGAGCGGTTTTCGTGACAGTGTGGACAAATACAGACTCAACGCAACTGAAGCGATGGTGCGACACAAGTCGGACTGGGGCGTGCGAGGTTAACTGAGCAATGGGCGGGCAGGGACAACACAACCGTGCTTCAGGGACCTCGGCATAAATTTCCAGTACTAGTGACGGCGAGCATTCGAAGAAACACTGTCGGCGATGTACAGTACTTAGGATGGAGCTTGTGATCTGGTCCAAGGAACAAAGGGACTTGTGAGAAGAAGCAAGCACTTTCATATCGCCTACTATTGTAGGTGCATCAGTTATATCTAGGACTGGACGACTCGACAAGACGTCCCCGCCCGCGCTAGGGGTGTTGAATAGAGGACAATACCGTTCATTTACTCGTACAAATTGACTGACACCCAGGGCGTTGAATCCGAAGGAGAACTCTCCGGGGGTGGACGTCGAAGGGCTCTTCATTCTGGCATAATCTCAACGTGTCCAACGGCAGAACCGATGTCCTGAATATGCATCTGTTGACCGGTCACGTCGGGGAATTGGCTTTCAAAAACGGTCTCTCCTCTCAAGAGCCTCTCCATGTTCAATCTCACGGAGAACACCACATGCTGCGATCGTGCATCCTCCACTGGTCCGGACAGTTCGTCGCCATATTCGATGTCACTATTTTTGCTTTGGTGTCCTGCTGGGCGAGAGAATCCGATCAACGGAGGAAAGACTGATACACACATATATGCGTAGCGATCATGGGCGCACAAATCGGCGAATCCCAAGTCTACGGGATGATTGTATGGTACCATACCCATATAGTGGAGCGCCTTTCGCGCCCCCTGTTGTGAGATGCCATAGGCCGCTGTACATACGCCTTTGCTGGAGGGAAAGACGATCCGGGTTTGATGATCTCCTTGTAGTCCACCTTCCCAACGAGACATATTGGGCGTTTCATACATGTCATCGCGATACTGGAGGGGCTCAGCGGTCGGGTCACGGGGAATGACAAAGACGCGTCGATGATCTTCATCCCGAGACCCCGTCCCACAATTCCCGATCCATAGCATGTCCCAATTGTCTCCATATGGAGAACATGTTGGATGTGTGGTGGTTGTGTTGATCATAACCCGCGATCCTCGCGCAAATTGAACCAGCTGTTGCTTAAGCGACACATCCCAATCAGCGTCATCCTCAAACACCAAAGCCGTGGCAATATTCTCATGGACAATCTTCTGCAGCACGTTCATATGGGCCCTCCAGCAGCCGACCACGGCCGGTGTCTGTTCCATAGTCTCAAAGGGCCCGCTGTCAGCTTGCGATGGAGCAAGATTATCGTCGAGCTAACTTACATGTGGGAGCGCCTTGACCGGAACGGTGTGTCCGTCCACTCCGTCGATCTCAGTGTAGCTGAATGAAGATAATGCCGCCTGCATGGCGAACGTGTCCCGTTTGTCCGTTCGTGAAGGCAGAGAAATCACGTACACCTTCTGGAAGCCTAAAGTGTCATTTTGGACCAGATTCTGTTCTTCGACCGGTACCCTTGGCCATCCGGGATTCATATGTGCGTAGTGAATAAACGGCGCTCCTCTGAAGACCGAAAATGACATAAGACAGATGATTAACGAGGCGAGGAGTAGGCAATACTGTCGGCTGCGCATCCTAGACATCGAAATATGCAGTATACCAAGGCTTCTGGGGCTCTCTATGTGAGAAGCTCTCCGATGCTTCAGCTAATGAAGCATCTTATACAGTGGCACTATTGGACTCCTTTACGAAATCACTGGCGGCAAACTCATCGCACGCATGCGCCAGAGGATCCGGAGTTATTGGAGTGGCCAGGGAGCCGGATCTCCTAGGGCGTTGCACGGGTGGCCAAGCCCGACAGGACCCTCTTCACTGTCTACAACAACTAACTCGTTCAAATAAGTCACCTTGGCCGTGGGCTTTTTGCTCCTGTCCTGGCGTGAGTGTAAAGACGCCGTGCATTTGGATTAGCCAGTCATTTCGGGCCACGCTGGAGGTATAATCGAGGCAGGTGAGATTGGCCTGTTCACTCCAGTCTAAACACCGTATTGTATGCGCGGGTGGCAGTACTGTAACTCCACCACAGAATCGTGATACGGGATGGAGACCGATGCACACTAATAAGGTCCAATGATTGAGCGAGATGATTGGATTTTCAGAGACCAATAGGACCGCGGGCCTGGTTTTCCAGCTCATTGGCCATCATTTCGTTCAACTTTCAACTTCCGTGCACCCTTCCGGCGGTGCATCTTGGACCGAATTGATCGGGGTACTGTGCAACAAAGTAAATTACAGTACGGATCAAGCTTCCCGGGTTTTGCTGACATCCACTATCGGGATCCGACGTAACCAGAGACGAAAATCGCCATCGAAGGCATCGGCTGTGACAATACTGTCCCGTGCGGAAGGCTTTGCAGCGAGGCCGGAAGCCCTCGAATCTTTGTCGGTCGACATTTAAACCCGCCGGGCAGGTTCACTCCAAGAATGGCTGATCAGTGTCGAGATGGTGCTGAGGCGCATGTTTACGGAGGAGCCAGGCATCCAGCACAACCAAAATTCACACCCGCCAGCCGGCGAAGAACATGGCGTCGACTCTCTGATGGCTCCAAAATTGTTCACGATAGTTCGAGCAATAGGTAGAGCTCTGCCCGAGAATTCCTTGAAGTGGTGGTATACTCGGGAAAGGGGGATCTGCCCCTGCTAAACCGAATACAGCTAGCCGAACTGATTCCACACTACTTAAATTACAGGGCTGATTCCCACCAATCAAGCTCGACCCCAACTCCAAGGTCCTTTCTTCAACCGCGACGTGAAACTTTCCATATCACTGGCAGCCGACCATTGACGCGTCGGAGATAAGACGTCCGTCCATAGCAGTACTGTATTCTAGAAATGCAGTTATAAAGTCTAAGGGCGATAATTACACACACCACCAAGCAATCGGGCCTGGTTGAAGGACCACAGTCGCATACTGTACACATCGCAGGCAGCCGAAACATAATACAGGAATGCCGAAAAGAAGACCAAGGCAATGTCACGTCGTGCTTTGACACGACCTGCATCAGCTTATGCAGGCTGCGCCATAGCGCGGGTGTGGCTGAAGCTTCCCTTGACCAGGGCGCAGATCAGCTGGCTAATTTCGGAAGCGTCGTCAAATGCCGCCCGGTAGTGCCAGCTAACCTTCAATCATCACGCATTTCATGTCCCACATCCATGGAGCTGCAGCAATCGATCGAAAACTTTATCTTAACTTCACAATCCTCGTCGTGGGATTGCATGTTTGGACTCGCGGTTCCCTAAAAGTTCTCGAAGTCTGTGCGGCAACCTCTGGTTTTTATGCGCCGTGAGGCCAGCTTTGATTCATCTCCTACTTGGTTGGCCATGGTTGAACACATCGCTTTCCGGCAAGAACCCTTGACATCACTGGTTTGGATGGACGTGGTGGCTAAAACGTGCATTCAGCCTCGCGCTACGGGACATGTATGCGGTTGAGACAGCGAGGTCGAATCGCACCCAAGATCCCCTGTCACCCTCCACCTTCTCGATCGGCATTCGCGACAGAATTAGTGGCATCTCCTTACCAGAGCGGCGTCAGCTACTACTCCGACCTGTTTCCCAATTGTGACGGCGAAATGCCCTGCGGCGACTGCGGCGAAAGATCCAGAGGTCCTTGTTGGAGTCCGCGCCGAGCGTGATATCATGGTAATACCGGCTACATTCGTCGCCAGCAGCTGGAAGTTGTTCAGCCGACCAAAGTTGAGACTAGTGGAGCTGTGGTCGTCAGGGAAATCCCATATATTGTCAAGTTCGCATGAGAGATGCTACTGTATAGCATTCGATTTAGCTAAGACATGTGAGTAAAGGGCGATTCTTTTGAGCAAGGAACGCACTCCAAATTGCTCTTGCATAGATGAGAACCGCCAGCGACCCAACGGCGGTACCATATTAGGCAGCTGAAATTAGGCCCTACTTTATTTTTCTGATTTCATGCTGGGTGGAATAGATGGAATAGCGTATGCTTTTGAAATTGATGGATTATAAGGGTCTTCACAAAACACGCCGTTGAGTGTCGCAGGTTCTGAGACAAAAATACATCCTACCGTGATTCGTTGCTGACTTGAGGTCGCTATCCTGCATTCGTGTGGGTGAATCGGTTAGCTTGGTTGAGAAGAAATCGCAGTGTGTCCGCGGGGGGTTGACCGATTCGGGAATTTCACGGACGGTCAGTTCCTTTCTGGAGCGGCACGAATCTAGACTCACAAAGAGTCCGTGTGTTTTGCCACGTATGCCTCCCCACGTCCCTGACTCCATACGAGCGTAGCTTCTTATCGCGTTTGCGCTTTAGAGTCTGATTTCTTGCGCGCTCTTTCACAAGCCAGTCCTGTCTCAATTTATCCACGTCTTCCCATCCGGGGTACCATGAAGGAAAGAGATTCGTGATGTGCGGTTTGATCATGAGCACATCCGGGTCTGCCTCCAGTCTAACTCCGGCATGGGGGTTCGGAGAGCCTTTTCGGGCTCCGGGTGCCAGATGTGGCTGGTCACACTCGGCATCAGAATTCCGACCACCTTCTTGCGAGTGACTGGCAGCACTGACATACCGTCGGAGTGGTGGTCGCATCTCGGCTTCGCGCTGTGAACAAACTCCACCCTTCGCGTCCGGTGCTCCAGCCTTATGCCGTTTCTTGGGACTCCGACTGCGCGAGGCCGAGATGCGACCACGAAGTTCTTCCGGGTCGGCGATCTCTTCCTCTACCAATTCTTCTCCATCGTCCGTCGCCTTGACCAACAACACATTTCGTGGGAGTCCGGGCATGCTGAAGAAACCTGCGAGAGACGGGAGGAGTGCATGGACAAACCGTGCAAATAGAAAACTGGGATGGCAGTTGAACCCTGGCTGCATCTTCACATTGTGAAATAGCTGGGCGAGGTCGGGAGTGGGTTCAAGTAGATGCACCACGAAAGAACCGTCGCCTTTGGGATAAAAGATGAATTTCCGTTCATCTAGCCCGACATGCAGGTCGGACCGCAGCAAGACGAGATTGCTCATATCATTGAGGAGATTGTCAGGGTCCAGTGACAAATCGACGTTGTACTTCCACATGGAATTCTGAGAGAACCATTTGCCTTCATGTTGGGGAACTATATGAGCTGCCTGGGTTCCGGTGACGTGTTTGGACATCCGACAAGTCTGATCTCTCACCCGGACTGCTCCAGTGACGGATGATTGAGCGGAGGTGAGAGACGCACCATTGTTGGAGAGATAGTTCTTCGTCCATCGTGCAGGGATCTCGTCGGGAAAGGGATAATCTTGGAAGCGTAAAATCACTGGCCATCGGTACGGCTCTGTCTCGGGAGAGTCGACTGCACTTCGGTCAATACTGCGTAAATATATGTACGATAGCGACATGACGTACGTGGGTGAGGGACATGGAAGAAGTAATCTCCTGCACGCAGGAGGTCATTCGGCTCCGCTACAATCGCAGGCCCGCCCCGTGTGGTGGAGAGATAGCCACCTGCACGGTTGCCGGCAACTGCGGTACAAGCATCCAGTACGAAGGCGAAGCACAATGCTCCCTCTTCATGATCCCAAGCGTATAGCGTAAATAGATCTTCCCCTCTCTTGTCATACCCTGGATGTTTGATATTCACGCGATGTTTGACCGGTGGGTTGGTCAGGAAAGAGTAGTGCTCAGGCAAGGGAGCGGGAAAGATTTCGGCGGGATCGCGAAGTTGAAGCGCGTGCGGCAAGATGGAAGGGAGGGCCATCTGAAATCAATGGTTTTGATGAACGTCAGGTTAGCAACAGGCCAGTGTGACATGGGGTATGGTACATATGGGTGCTCGGTCGCAATAAATCAGGCGGCAGCGCGGAGGATTTTATTTCGGCCCCTTAGCCTCCGCGCCTGGTGACCATGGCAACGCTAAGCTTCGATGTGACGTCATCGAGGCCATGGTTTATCTGCCGCTTCAGGAATGCACAAATCACGTGACCAATTTTCGACGGCAAGACGGATTCTCACGCGGACTTGTTGACCCAACCCTTTGCGGCCATCGAAACAGGTGAGAAGTTGTGCTTCCGCGACAGCTGGTGGAGAGCTCCGTCGAGAGATGGGAAAACGAGTTTAAAATGTTGGCCAAAACCGGTCTCCATGTACAATGCGACTGTCCGCGGAGATCAGTATACTGTACGAAGCTCCCGCAACAATAATCTAGTCAAATTATCAGCGCCTTCTCTGGACAAGTTTGTGCTGGCGAAAGGATTGCACTTGGGAGCGGAGAGGAGGCCTATAAAACTATAACACGACACCCACCTCTCCGACCAAAACTACATGCCCACCACGCCCGGAGGGAATCCTGCACAGGTCCTAGAGCACCCGGCCAACATGCTCTCCCATTGTCATTCACCGCATTTGATCCACGGAGATGTCAAGCTTGATAATAACATGCAATCAACCGTAGACCATCAAACCGTCATGCTGGACCTCGGAAACACGTTAGATGAAGGGTGCAGAAGCTCCAGCTCCGGGTTGGAGCTCCTTCGGCGCAGTTGCCTGATGGGGACAAGGGCTGGGCGTCCTTTCTTGTCTAGTTTGGTTAAGGTCCAGGCAGACTCTCACAGTCGTTGTATCGCCGAACTTGTATTGACGCAGTCGACCTTTATTGTATATAGACAGAACAGGAGTGACGCTGGAAGAGAAACCTCAGGTGGGTTCAGGACTCTCGTGGAGCGCGGGAGGTGGTCGTTCATGCTAGACTCAGGAGGAGTGGTGACACAAGGCACCGCACAACAGGCCTCTCGGATGCTGGCCTGTTGACCCATGCCTCTCTCAATATTCGAGCGAATCTCGTCATCTACTGTATTCTGGGGATGGGGTTTCGGGGAAACCCCTCACCCACCTCCCTCAAGTGTGAGCAAAACATCAGCGCACGTACCCTGGTGCTGCCCTCAAAATTCGACCTGATTGCGCCGACCAGGCTTCCAGCAGGTAGGGTCGATAACCACCCGAATATGTTCCTGCCGCTAAACTCTTCACCAAATCTCGAAGGCGGGCACACCGGTTGGGGCGAATGTAGGGGCCCAAGTTCGCGACCTGGAACATACGTATACCAAATCCATTCGAGGCCGTTCGGCACGGGGAAGATCAGACTCAACCAGGTAGATAGGCTGATGGGGGCTGATGGGCCAAGCACGATCGTGTGGTTTATCAGCCGTGCATGCGCTGATCGGGTGACAAAGTTCGTGGAGGGTCGCCATTCGTGTTGGGGGATGGGAGTCGCATGGAAAACGGCACGGCTCTACCAGATATCGGTGTCTAGAATCCTCAGGGACGGAGATTCCCGGACAAGTAAGGGCACAGTCCTACGGGTTGAAGGCGACTAAGTGGAGGGCTCCGCCCTCGCTGTCGGGGCCTCCTTAAGATGAAGCTACAGCCTCGCACTCACACGATGCGGACTAGGTACGAGTACGAAGCTACGTCACGTCTTTCCGGCGGACACTGGAAACCAAAGCTGGAATCTTGGGCCATTCATTCTATTTTGCCGCAGGGTCGAGGTTGAATCACGTCAGTCCCTTGCGCCGAAAGAGACGCCTGACCCACTGTAAGTGAATAAGCGGGAAAACTAAAACCCCCGTTTCGGTAGTCCATGGTACGAGTACTCGTACGGAGGCGAGAATCCAAAAGTTTGTGTCATGCTTTTTAAAATGATGAGCTATCGTTATATTTTATTATGTCATTTAGTCTAATAGATCTTTTGCTGTAGGCGAGTAAGGCCTCGTTCGAGAATTGAACACCTACTAGTGTTACGGGGTTAAACCCGTACTAGGTCTTGGTTGGAACTCGCGATTCTCTACAAGACGACATCACGTGACCGCCCTCTATCGATAGTTACCTCTGGCTACTGTACGATCTACTGAAGGGGAGAATATTGCTACGATCCGAACCGCTAAGCAGTACTGACCAAGGCGCGTTCCTTGATAAGTGGGTAATCAGAGAGGTATAACGCAATCGAGACCGAAGGGAACGATTCTCGTTCGGGCAACGCTAAATGTAGGTATAGGATTGCTAACGAAGTCAACTACGAACCGTTCCTCTCAGGATAACGATCGTGTACGTTCATTGTTGCATTGCTGCATTGCTGCCAATGGTCACGTGATGCAGCCTCGTCCTCCATCGGCTGACCTTCCTCAAACTGCTGGTTCGTAACAAATATCTCTGCATTGTAGGGTAGCTAGACTCCTTCTTTACCTTCTCTCTTTAGCTTTGAGATCCTCGCTACACGGTAGTTAGGTTAACTGAACAATTCCTTCCTAAACCCTAACCCCTAGTCTCCTCTAAGAATGTCATGTCCCCCATGACTCTACTGAATATCTGTTAGAGCTTGGGAGAATCTCTAGGGGATGTTGCCGTAGAAACGTGATTAAAAATAAAACCCGTCATTTCAGATTGCGACTGTGTCATTAGAAAGCTTTTGTCATCCTCTACTAGCGCGTACACATCTTTTGGTGCACGCCTCCGCACTCGTAGCTAGAAAATCTTTCAACCCCTGTCCGCTATTTAGAGTTCGACCCAACCTGAAGCTTGTCGGAGTGAAAAACTAACACAAGAAAAAACTACCCTCAAGCTCTAAAATCGTTGCGGCATTTGCAAGGGAACCTAGGAGAGGCTCCTCTTAGAAATATATGGTCAGAATTGCGGCGATGTCACCTCCCGGGGATAATTCCATCCCCATTTTCGGGAAGAAAACTCTATTTAGCGGTGATGCCTCTTTACTTGTAGGACCACTCGCAAACTCCATGGTCCTCCCAACCAAACCCCTGTTGGGGGTTGCGCAGCTCGAGCGATCTAAGGGAGACGCTTATCCATATACAGCGCCCTAGAAACATTGGGCCTTGTCAGACCCAACATTTCTCCTTGAACGATGGCGAGATGGCCACCAATGGTGTGTCACGTGGTGTTGATGGCTGGTCAGACCCGATCCCAGCGTTGCCTCATTAGGAGTGGTCTGGCAGCTAACGGGGCCTCTTGCCATAATGGCGCTAGCCGGGCAGACCTGTGCGCGCCAAGCAAGCAAGGTGCTAGGTTGGGCATCCCCTAAGTGAAACACACTTTTGTCAGACCGTCGACCATCTCGATCTCCACATGGACTCGCAGGCGCAGCCGCCTTTCGGCCCGCTAGTCACAACCACTCCCTCGGGAATAGGGCCAAAAATCGAAGCTGCTGTAAGAATTCCACCTCCTCCTTGCGCTCAGCTGATCAGGACAATAGATTCCTACCTTACGGTGACGACGTGAGCGAGCTCAATGACTTCGAAGTACTTTGAAACCGTAAATGAAAGACCACAAACTCGCGATCGATCCTCTCCGCACGTGGATGACCCGACTCAAGCAGGGGATGCGCCTGTCGTTGTCCGTGAGGTTGCCTCGTACCGCCATCGCCTTCCGCTGGGACCCGATGCTGCGACTCCAGACCGAACGGCACCGTCTCCGCAGAACATACACAAGGGGGCATGTGATGTATGCAGGCAGAAAAAGCAGAAATGTGAGGTCAACGGAAGCGAGACTGACTGTGCATACTGTCTTAAGTCTGGGCTGCAATGCGTCAGAAATTCACTTAATCAATCTTCATCTCGGAAGAGGCGTCATTCAATAGGCAAGCCCACCACTCCCGTGGGCAACCAAGGAGAGGGGCTATCCAAGCGACTCCGTTCGCCGGCGGGTCAAGTCCCAACTCGACAGCCTAGACTAAGTACCACGATAACGGTCGATACTGCAATGGACAGTGAAGAAATTGGTCATCGCCGAGCAACATCGATCAGCCCGGAATTGGGATCTTGGGCACCCGAATCACGGGTGCCCCAATACGCCCCGCAGTCCGCGACGGTCAACACGATGGCTCTTGACCCGGGCTCCGTTCTAAACGGCTTCAAGGATTCGTCGTCGGCAAATGTGCCGGGACCGACCGGTCACCGGACATATCATGAAGTCTTGCGTGAGGCGGTTCGAAACCACAGGGCGAACGCTCGAGGTCATAAGAAGCTCGAGCAAAGAAAAGCCACGTTGAAAAAAGAGATTGAGACTTATGAAGAAGAGCTCAACACTCGTAAAACTGAAATGGCTGATTTAGAAGTGAAACTCTGTAAAGCGCAGCAAGACGACGAAGATTTGAAGAAGGAGGTCTTCCAAATTCAGAAAGCCCAGACGGTATAGTTCCCCGTTTCGCCACGCTTAGGTGTCAGAATGACTAACCAAACTTGTAGGACAAGATATACCGCGAGCTAGATGAGGAGGAGGAGAGGATGGCCCAGTAAGGAATATATTGGCAGTCAAGGCCCCCAAACCGCCCGGGCTCTTAAGGATCGCGATGTCTGGGGCTGGTCGGGTCAACCCGGAGTGCGTGTATGTCGTGGCCTCTCGTGCTTGGGGAGACTGGCCACGACGGGGGATCGATCGGTCTGCTGGGATGGCTTTCAATGTGTCGTTCGATGTGGTGTTTTATTCTTTGCTTTCCTTCTCTCCTTCAATTTGAGGCGTCGGCCGGGCTCATGGGACCATGGTGAAAGTCACCCCCAGCTCCCTCTTTCGTTGTTCTTTCATCCTTGCCAACCATGTGGGTAGCAATAATATCGTCCTCGAAGAACGCAGCGGTACGTGGGCGTGAGTGTCGGCGTGAATGCCCAGCGGTAGATCTGACGGTCGTCGTGATACTTCCTCGGCAGATTTCGTTCGGGCGTCCGGGGGAGTTTCCCTTTTCACTCGATGCTTCGCTCGAGCGTGATTGGCCGGGCGTTGAGTGAGTTGAACAACCATCTGGTCGTGGGAGGGACGAGGACGTCCTGCGCCGCGGTGGCTTGGTCACTGGTTCGGACAACGCGGCGGTCGTTAGGTGTACAGGTGTAAAATTCGTGGGAAAGCTCTCAGTGCAAGACAAGAGAGTGGTCGATAACGAGGGTTGCACCTCATTGACTTCTGAGATAGGGCAAAACGAGATCTGAAAAAGAGATCTGAAAACGAGATCTGAAAACGAGAAAGCCAGGGACGAGGTGTCGGTGAGGGAAAGAAGACGGAGGAGGGGAAGAAGAGCGCGGAAGAGGATATCTGGGGGACGGAGAAAGGTGTGTGTTTTTCTCAGCTCACCAGCCTTGTTGACCGACACGCCCGCTAGTCGCGACAGACTTCGGACCCTTGTGACCCCCTACCGTTGTCTCGGCGAGCCACTTTGGCCGCGCAAGGTCTGAGACAGCCTTTTCGACACTCACCTCTCTAGAGACTAAACGTTGTCCTCCCTCTCACCTCGCCGTGTCTGCCCCGTTGTCCGAAGCCTTACTGACCGCCCCATGCCAGGGGCCGTGTCCTCGTCCCCGAGTCCATGGTGCAGCGCTCCCACCCACTCACCATCGCACGCGAGGTCCTCGGCCGCTTGTCTCACCTCGCTCCCAGCATTGGGATTCGACCTCTTCGATGACGGAGCACGTCTGCGCCTTGGGTCGTGTGAAACCCCCGGCGCCTATCCTTCAGTCGCGGCGAAGGATCCTAAGTGATGAAACATCCACGACGTTATGTCCGGGCGTCCATTGTCGAAAAGGTATATATCGAGCTACCGCGTCACGCAAGGCAGATGGTTCAAGAAACGGTCGGGCAAAATACATCCGAGGAAAGGGGACTGATCTGGACACTCGCAACGGGTGCGCATCACTGTCGTGACGGGTCATCCACTGGGGCTTCACGTTGCAATTCCAGCTCGCTGGTGTTCGCAGTGGCATTTCAACGTGAGCGACAGACGGGGTGCCCTTCTAATAGCGCCGGAGTCGCGAAGCGCTGGACGATGGACCTGGGCCGAGGCCATCGTCCTACGTCCCGGGGCAACCACCACCCCCCCTGCACGGAAACCTCCACCACATAAATAGGGATTATGGTGAATAAAATCATCACTCGCTGACCGCCAACCACTCAAGGCTAGAAGGCCTTCGGCAGGAGCCCTCTTAAGCGTTACCACGTACAGTTTTGCGAACCAGTGAAAGAGGGTGTCACATTGTAGGCTTGCCTAGGATGGACGGACAATTCAGTCCTTTCAAGAGAAGATGTGCTCCAGAGGATGTTTTGCTTTTCGGGATACTTGAGACCAATCATGACCAAAAAGTCGCCCACAATCCATCCCATCCCTGTGCTAGTGATGCACGTGAAGAGGACCCACGTCCGTGGAGGCTCCCAAGCACACTACGCGCACAGTGTCACCAACCAGGTTCCCTGTGAGGAATACGGTGCGATAGGTGGAGATCTCTCAGGAGTCAGTGAGAGACGTTCCATCGCGAGGACTGGCGTTGGCAATATGGACAACCAGTACGCCGCAAAACATAAAACCAGGAATGCCCCTCATGATCTCAGTGGCATACCATCCGGGTTTTTCAAGACCGTGGGCCTTCCTGGCATCCAGTTATCCTGCACCAATAGCGTTTCAAGTCCCTTTCGAAGCCGCCGGCTGTCCGCAGCTCACCGCGTGCGCCGCCGCTTCATGGGCGGGCCCCGCGCGCCTTTGGCCGACCGCTTTCGAGGGCCAGGACCCCGCAGCGATCCCGGTTCCTTTGTCTTCCGGTCTGGCGGTTCCGCCACCAAGATCCTCTGTCTGAAGGACGTCCCAAACGCTTCTTGGTAGTACACTGTCTTGTAGATTGGCGCCAGGTAGAATGGAGAACCAGAGATGTGTTCCGCGGGCTCGCCGTCGACGCGCAGCTGGACGCCCACCGGATCGGCGAGGCTCTTCACCCTGAGTACGACGGCACACCCGAGGTTGCCGTCCCTGTCAACGACGCAAGGACGAATCCAGCTACCCCCCTGTACCACGATGCTGGCGTGGAGACTCAGCACACGGTCGCGGAACAGGCCATAGGGCTCTGGAGACGACTTCAAGCTGCATCGGACACGGGCCCGGATCGTCCAGGTGCCTGTTGCGTCCGGGGTGACGTGGGTGAGGTCCAGGTAGAACATCTTACTGACGACGAGCCGAGCGAATTGAAGCAGGTCGGGCGACTGGCCAAATTTCCGCTCGGCCATCGTCCGCATCCCGGGGATGGCCTTCACACTGTCCAGTCGAGGGAGGGTTCGGGGAAATTTCACGTCGAACCGGAAGGCGCGTTGCCTCAGGCCCGGGTTGGCCACGAGGAACTTGCGCCACCCGAGGTCCCCCGATAGGTTGGATGTGAGGATGCCGTAGGTCTGCCCGAGGCCACCCTCGCGGAGGGCTCGTCGCAGCTCTCCCCATCGCCCCCCAACGGGGCTGATCTCCACCTCACTATCCTCAGTCTCCAGCCGTGTTGAGCCTGTCCCGAGCGAGAGGACGTAGTCAGGGGTGTGTGCGTGGTACGCACGCGCTTCGCGCCCCGAGGTGATCGCCCAGCCCTCGGCGAGGGCCATACTCACCGGGTTCAGAGCGACCGCCCCGCCGTCCTGCAACTGTTCCTGTCCCCCCGTGGGTCGATGAGGGGGGAAATATCTGGGCAGGGTCAGCTTACTCCGCCTTTTGGAGGGACGCCCGTCACTCACACAGGAGCCGCGGTGGTACATCGAACGCTGTGGCAACGTCAGCCGGTTGGATCTCACCTGCGGATTCCCCGCCGGACCTACCATTCCCATAGGGGAGGAGGAGGCCCACACGGGACCGAATAGTCTGAACACGATATCAGTGCAGTACTTCAAGTACGCCGAAGGCTGAATCCTCACCGCAACCATCTAGCCTCCGGCCAAATCCGTTGTAGTTGGTGAGCAGCAGCCTCTTCAAGGGCTCCCGGACCGTGGCGGCGGTGAGGCCCAGTTTAATGCCGAATCGCGAGGCGAACGAGGTGGATTCATCGAGGCCCGTGCTTATACCAAAGACCCTCTGCAGGGCGCCATTGACGGCCTCGGCGGGGTACAAGGTGTCGGTGAAACACGACAGGAGCGCTTTTTGAATGTTCGGCATCACCAGAGGTCGAGCCATCGAACGCCGGACGAACACTTCTTCGGCCACAGCCTGGAAGGTCTCCTGGCAACGCTGGATCGACCACCCCTGGTGGAAAATGCCGGCCTCGTCGATGCCGCCTATGGTGATTGGGTCAGTAGACCTGTGCGATGCCGACGTTCGACGGGACTTACCTGAACTGGTGCCGAAAACGGCGTCGAACGCCCGATGCACGATACCGGTGATGCCTAGGTGATGCTCTAAAGCCGCGAAGAAGCTCAAGGGGATGATCCCCCGGCAGCCCCCTCCATCGATGCTGCCAATGCGTAGGCCTTGCAGGGGCGACGGCAGGCTAAAGGTGGCGGCGCCCGTGTCCGCGCCGCACAGGGAACAGAGCTGAATTTGATGAGAGCGGGGATCTTCAGGGGTACGATAGCCATCGTTCCGTACACAGTTCCCGCACATACGGTGTCCACACGGCAGTCGGTGTTCGGGGTTGCGGCCGAAGAGGCACACGTAACATGTGGTGGCCTTGGGTCCCGCGTGCCAATGACCCTTCAAACGCCGCAAGTACTTTCGATGCAACGAGTTCAGGTCGTCGCCGCCGGCCTGCCAATTGGAGAACACCGCTCGGAACTTTTCGCGGGTTAACTCCAGCAGTAGCTGGGGGGACAGACCTCCCTCAGCTCGCCGGACTGCCGTGCGCCCCAAGGCCGCCCGACAGGCCTCGGAGTATAGGGTGACAAACACGTCATCCGGATCAAAGACTGCGGTCGGTCAGTCCGGGTTCAGTCAGAAGTCAGCCCGCGCGGGGAGGAGGGGGAGGACGCACGTACCGTGGGTCTCCGGGCAATAATGGTTGAGGAGCAGACTTGTTGCCAGGTGTGGCAGCGCCAGCGCCACCACAGTGGACGTCGAGCGGAACCCCGACAGAAAATCCTCTAAAGAGGAGGCGAGATGGTCCGGCACCGCATCGTGGAGTCTCGCGGCATGGATGAAATCAAACGGACCCCCGGGTTTGCTTTGACAGTGATCCACGTTGCGGTGGAAGAACGCCACCAAGTGTCGGGCAGAGAAGCACGCTCGGGCCTCCCATCGGGTCTGCTGCGATTGGTCCGACAGGTTCAGGACGGTGTCTTTCAGTTGCAGATACTTGGCCACCGTCCCCAACCCCTCGTCCTCCGGGACTGTCAATGGGATCACGTCCGAGAAAACGTCTTTGAACGACGACAGTGAGTGCCGGGACAGTCGTCTCAGGATGGCCCCGGACGACAGACCCCGCCCCACCGCTCGGTCTTCTATCAGGAGCAGGCGCGGACGAACAGAGCGATGGAGGGTGGAAGGGCGGCCACAGCTTATCCAGGTCAACAGACGGTCGAAGGCGCATTCAGGACCCGGAAAATCACCCAGGAAGACAGCCACGACATCCGCCAAGGGTGCCACCAAACGGGCGGCGAGGCGAGTCGTCGGACAGGGCTCCACCGGAGACCCTGGCCCCACCCCCCCGGACAGGATCCGGGCCTCCCATGTCCGGTGGCAGCCGTGGGGACTGGGACGGCGTCGCCATCCCCGCGACGCGAGGTGATCACAATCTACGTACATGAGCGGCCGGTCCGTGAACGCGGAGTGAGGGTCAAGCACGAGCTCCAAATCAGCGTCTCGTGGACGACGGGCGCGCGCGGGTACCCCGTGAAGGAGCCCCTGTAACGCCGCAGTTTTCCGCCGTCCCCCCAGGAGGAAGATGAGGCTCGGTCGCTGTACTTCGGGGCGAGGTAATCCCTCCACCAGCTGATCGAGTCGATCGGACACGCTCAGGGTGAAAGTGCCCCCCTCCGTGGCATTTCCATCATCGTCATCAGGGGGGACGACGTCGAGCCAGCCGCGATGCCGGCACCCTGGCATGGCCCGAAATCGGGATGGTCGTTGCGAGCCTTGTCGAAAGTCACAGTCAAAGAGAAGTTCAGCGAGGTCGTCCTGACTGGGATTTACATGCCTCTCATCTCCCGGCGGGCTTCTGTCGAGCCTTAATAGCCCAGGGTCTCCCGGTTGCCCCGACATCCCTGGCGTCCTTCACATCTGCCCATCGTTTTTTTCGAGACTCCGACATGCCGAATATTTCGACCTGGCAGGCAACGCGAAAGGGAACAGGATGGAAAGGACCGACCACAATAGAGGATAATTTGTGCCCTCTTCGCCCACTTCTCCGCACATCGGGTCGCCAACCTCGAGGCGACAAGAAATCGGAGCGAGCCACTCCCCAAATGACGCGATAGGGACCGAGGTGACAAACGTTGGCCCCTTTTGAGCATTGTCCTCGGCCCAGGAGTGCGGGTGATGCCTGCGCACACCAGCAACATTTGAAAAACGTAGCCCTTCTCACTCACCAAGGGACATATAGGACTCTTTGGTGGCCAGGCCTCCCGCGGTCATTTTTCCGGATCAAAGCAGGATCTCTCTCTGCACCGCCGCCAGATATAATGGGCTCGCAGTGGCCGTTTTCTGTGAGATGTGCAAACCCGGAAGCGGAACCGAGGTACTGTAGTCGCCGGGTTCAAGAATGATCGAGGAGTTTCACGGTCGGGTCCTGGAAATAAAAATCCGACCCTCGGTCAGACCAATCTCATAAGCCCTCGAAGTGGCCTCTCCCTGCCCCACTCTCGGAGGCCAAAATTTCAGCATACCAAGCCAGAGTAGCACCGGGCGTGAGTACAGTACGAGGCGAGGCGTACAAATGCGGTCCGATTTTCCCTTTTTTTCATTCGGGGCGAGGAGAAAGGAAGCCCATCTTACGTCCTCGTGTTACTTGAGGGTCAAGTTCGTTGGTGCCTCGATTCGGTAATTAGTGTCTGACGTTCCGGTACTCCCCCGGCGACCATTTCCCTCACAAGAACGTCGTGTGCAGACCTCGACGCCTTGATTCCCAATGGCAAGCAAAGGTGCCCGCAAGCCTGTTCCCCCGACTGTACATGTTCCGCCCGTCACAAAACGTCGTGCGGCCCCCAAAACACACTCCACTCGAAGATACAATGCGAACGGCAAGACAATGGATGCCGAGAAAGGCGCGTCCCAAGGGCGGAGGACTTCATCCGGCGAGCATTGTGAGGAGGAATATTCGTTTGAACTGGTGTTTGACTGGAAATACGACAGATAGACAGGCTTGGAAGGTCGCCTGCTGCGGTCCTGGTCAATGATCACGGCGATGGAGATGCGGTGATCAGAAACGCCTCGATTCATGGAACACTGTTCGAGAGGGTCGGTGATTCGTAGAAGGCATAGCAAAAACGGCCGGGGGCCCAGCCGTGCGTAGAAGGGTGCGGCCTGCAAGTGTCGTGTGCACAATTCCTCACTGACTTCCGACGTTCGACGCTCAGGGCGCCACCCGCTTGAGAACGCCCAAATGAACAAGCGGATTCCTGGCCCCGATCTCAGATCGTTGCGAGGATACTGTAATCTTACAAACGCGGATCCGGCCGCATGCCATTAGCTACAGATGTGTTGCGGGTGCCAGCGTGAAAATCGGACCTCTTCGTTTATTCCCGTACAGCACTGCGACCGTATTCCGCATCGTTTCTGATTACTATCTATCGTGATTAGGGCTTCTGACAGATCGCCTCTCCCCTTGACTACGTCACCGGACTGGGTGATAGAGTATTGTACCTGTAAATCCTGAGCGATCCTCGTTGCGAAATTTCTCTTCCCCCCACAGAGCAGCCAAGGGACCGTCTCATCGCAATGTGGCCCTCTTCCACCGAATTGATGGGGCGGATCAGATGATGTGATGATGTGATAATGTGCGACGATGCGTGAACCAGGGACGAGACGCATCTCAAATTCGAATCGATTGGGAGATCTTTCTGCGAAACCTACGGGATCTTCCGCCTTGTGTCAAAAGTTGAAGCTAGCGAGAGCCCTAGCCCAGCCCATCAATGAAACGCCCGTTTAGGATCGACTTCCCAACTCGTGTGCGTCATATGAGGCGATTTTAGTCGCGATGCCGAGGATTGGGCGACCAGCTGCCTTGGAATCTCTCCATCCCGCGATTCCTGCAGGAGCAGTGAGCCGGGGTCAAGGGCTGCGAGGAGGGCCCTCCATTTTCTGGGATCTTCGGAGGTCGGCCTCGTTTTACCATCCGCTCGTGTGGGATCCATTTGCTGGCCGAGGGTGGCGGTTCGTTGAATGGACCCTGTAAGCATCATTAGAGGCGGCCGGTGGTTTGTTGGATGCGGTCCAACGTGAGGTAAGTTTCGCTGATGTCGTGGATCCTTCCATTGGAGGCCCGGTAGTCTCGACGTCCACTGAGAAGCGTCCGCCACCAACGAGCACCACGTGCCTGGATCCCTCCATTCTGGCCCAATCATCGATCTCCAGCATCGCACGAATCCCGGTGGACGAGGCGACGTGGAGTGGGTGTATAATCCAACTCCGTCTGCTTTGGAGTCTAGGGCCGCTGGCTACGTGGTTTTTCTTCACCAGACCGGTCTGCACATAGGTGGCCCGTCTCAGAACGTCCGAGACAGGGAAATAGACACACTCCAACTCAAACACCGAAACTGAGATGGCGACGAGCTCAATCCACGCGGATCGCGCACCATCAGGATTGGCACGCACCGCGGCCGGTATGGGGCCGTCATCTCCCATCGAGCGAGTCGACCTGATGAGAGCGTGCCCGAATCTTCATATCCGAGTGACCGACTGGGATCGGGAGCGAGTGATTGTCAGTCCATGCCGGCATCATTCCTCCATGGAAACCATTGAGGAAGAACGGTCGTCCCCTCGCGACGGCTCAGAGCGAGAAGAGAGTCGGTCGTCGCAGCTGGCGGCCGATGTCGACCATGGGATCCATGCAGGACAGCCCGCCCTTCTCGGAGCTGCTATCGTTGCTGGGAGCGGGGAGCCACCAAAGCTCTTCGCTCGACCGGCAAGGGATGAGGATGACCCAATTTTTGGCGCGTGAGGGGATAGCGGGTGGTGACCGCTGCGGCGAGACGACCAATCTCGTCTGTTGATGCTGCGAACCAATCAGATGTGTGGCTGGAGGTTGGGGAAGAGAGGTCACAGTCACCGAACGTCGAACGCAGAAGTCAGGAATGGAAGCGTTCTGTTCCGTGTTTGATTGTGCGACATGATTTGGGCAAACCATTAGCGAACCGTTACAGTTGTTCTCTCGAAACCTATCTACTAGACTGTACTCCGTCCAGTAGCTTTTGAAATGTGTCTACCCCTGCGGCCACATTGTGACTTTATTTCATCGAAGTTACAGTAGTAGGTGCGTTTTACTGTACTCAACATAGAGTAGTCAGCTATGAATCATCACCAAGCGGCCCACTCCATTCTTTCGCTTCCTTTCGTTGGATTTTGTTTGAGTATGTGGAAAGATGTCTCAGCTTCAAACAGCACCAATCCAAATCAGCGATTGAATGTCAAATATAGATGAACTAACAGCTGAGTTATCTGCTAGGCTAACTTATTGTTCATCCAACATCTTGCCTCGCAGAGAGCATTGGCTCCAACACATTCCTTGATTTGACCATCGTGAATCATTTATTAAAATCCAACGGTGCAGCGCAAACGCCAACAACTTCATACAGCGTATATTGCTTGGGGGGCCAGAGTCATGGATATTAATGTAGACCGAGAGCTCTTCATTCATTTGTTTCCACGCCAATTTGTTGCGTCGCAGTGATCCAACAAATTTCTCTTCTCTTTGGATTCTGTTCTGGTTGCTCTGGTGTAACTTATGTGCAAAGTTGGCCGTGGAGCCATCTACTCTGGCCAAATATTCCAGCCCATCCCTTCCACAGGCCTTTGCCAATTTCTCTGCTGGAGTCTGTGGCTTGCAGATCGCAGGGGCCACAACCACTGGCGCGTGCAGTAGGCCTCTCGAAGCGCAGCCATTCAGGAATGTTCCCTGGGTCTTTGTCCAATAATCAGCAACTGAATCCCGGTAGATCCAGGGCGGATGGATCTCGTGTATCGCATGTGATAAGGATCCATGAATGAAACTAATGACGATAGGTGGGACTTTAACTCTCGTAAAGCGAAGATACTTGAGCAAGTAATTTACCTCCATCACCTTGACAGTTCGACTCGAAATTTATCTTTGCTGGTTACCCGCGTCCCCGTGTGGTGAAATTCCAGATCACGTGCAGCTGCCTAATAGGCAGCTGTAGGCAACTATAGCTACTGCCCTATATAAAGACACCTAGGTGCCCACTTAGTTATAACAATCAAGCCTGTTACAACAATTCAACTAATGCCCCGCGTGATGAAATGAATGCCTAGTACCTCACAATTGCACAGTGCGAATTTCACACAACATCACTTTATGATTTAATGTCTGGCTTGAGATGCTCGATGACGATCGCCTCACCGAACTCGCCAACTATATACCGAAATTACCACCCCTCACTTCCTCAGTCGTAAAATGGTTCGGGCGAGTGATCTGACTTCGATTTGCCGATTCCTTACACACGGTAGCTGCAGACTTCTGGTCGGCCTTTTTAACCCCCAATTGAATTGATATAGATATATACTCGTATAGGATAGCTTGGAACCAATTATAATTGGTCCAAGTAGACTTTGCAGGGGTGGCATGGTGTTGCAAGGTATCTTGGATTATATCCCCGTGACATTCGCTTACCGGCGCCGGCAAAAATGCAAAACCTACATCACGTCGGCAGAACGCAGCAGCTCCACCGTGTGGCGCCATAACCGTGGGAGACCCTCAAAAAAGGACAAAGCAACAAATCAACAGTACCTCTCCCCCTGCGAGGAGAGAGCCCTCGTCGAATACGTGCTACAATCCTCCAGGAATGGCTACCCGATCTCCGTCAAGTCCCTTCGCCTGCTGGCCCGGGCCATTCGACATCAACAATCCTCCCAAGTCCTTGAGATTAACGACA